GTTAATTTCATTAACATCAAAGCAGCTGAAACTGATTAACAAACTGCTCTCTACTATTTAATTGACTTGATGTTATACTCTGAATAAAACAGGATCTTTAATTTTTTTGAGCAGTGTATATATCCTATAGTTTGTAGATGCCATAACTTTCACACACAAACCAATTAATATACACTTATTGGGATTTTTATTTTTTACCAAAGACATGTACAGTTAGGTCCATATATATTTGGACACAGGCACAATTTTCATACTTTTGGCTCTGTATGCCACCAGAATAAATTAAAATGAAACAATCCATATGAATTTGAAGTGCAGACTTTCAGCTTTAATTCAGGGGGTTGAACATAAATATCAAGCACAAACTTTAGGAACTGCAACCATTTTTATACACAGTCGCTCCATTTTCAGGGGTTCAAATGTAATTAGACAAATTAATATAATCTTAAATAAAATGTTCATTTTTATTATTTTGTTGAGAATCCTTTACTGGCAATGACTGCCTGAAGTCTGGAACCCATGAACATTACCAAAGACTGTGTTTCCTCCTTTCTGATGCTTTGCCAGGCTCTAACTGCAGCTGTTTTCAGTTGTTCTTTGTTTTTGAGTCTTTCTGCCTTTAGTTTTGCCTTCAGCAAGTGAAATGCATGCTCAATTGGGATGAGATCAGGTGATCGACTTGGCCATTGCAGAATATTCCACTTCCTTTCCTTCAAAAGCTCCTGGGTTGCTTTGCAGTGTGTTTTGGATCATTGTCCATCTGTACTGTGAAGCGCAGTCCAATCAACTTTGCTGCATTTGGCTGAATCTGGGCTCACAGTATATCTGTAAACACTGCAGAATTCATCCGGCTGCTTCTGTCTTCTGTCACATCATCAATAAACACCAATAACCCAGTGCCACTGGAAGCCATGCATGCCCATGCCATCACACTGCCCCCACCATGTTTTACAGATGATGTTGTGTGCTTTGGATCATGAGCTGTTCCAAGCCTTTGCCAAACTTTTTTCTTCCCGTCATTTTGGTACAGATTAATCTTAGTTTCATCCGTCAAAAGAATGCTTTTCCAGAACTGGTCTTGATTTTTAGATGTTTTTTGGCAAAGTCTAATCTGGCTTTTCTATTCTTCAGGCTTATGAATGATTTGCACCTTGTGGTGAACCCTCTGCATTTGCTCTCGTGAAGTCTTCTCTTGATTGCAGACTTTGACAATGATAACGCCCACATCCTGGAGAGTGTCCTTCACTTGTCTGGATGTTGTGAATGGGTTTTTTTTTTCTTTACCATAGAGAGTGGATCCTGCTGCGATCCTCTGCCACTGTTGTCTTCCGTGGAAATCCATGCCTTTTTATGTTGCTGAGCTCACCAGTGCATTTTTCTTTCCTCTGAATGTACCAAACTGTTGATTTGGTCACTCCTAATGTTGCTGCTCCCTGGATGGATGTTTCGTTTTTGAAGCCTTACAATGGCCTGTTTTCACTTGCATGGACAGCTCCTTTCAACACATGATGCAGGTTCACATCAATCGATTCCAAATGCAAATACCACACTCAACTCCAGACAGTTTACCTGCTTAATTGAAGAAATAACGGAGGAATAGCCCACACCTGGCCATGAAACAGCTTTTTATTAAATTGTCCAATTACTTTTGGTCCCTTGAAAAAGGGAGATGGCTGCTCTTAAGAGCTGTAATTCCTAAACCCTTCCTCCAATTTGGATGTACATACCCTAAAATCAAATCTGAGAGTGTGCACTTTCAGCCCATATCCATTATAAAAAAAATATAGCTTGAATATGTTTTGGTAAATACCTGAAAAACAACTAAAATTGTGCCTGTATCCAGTGTCCAAATATATATGGACATAAGTGTGTGCGTATGTGTATATACAGTCAGGTCCATAAATTGGGACATCAACACAATTCTAATATTTTTGGCTCTATACACCACCACAATGGATTTGAAATGAAACAAACAAGATGTGCTTTAACTGCACACTGTCAGATTTAATTTGAGGGTATTTACATCCAAATCAGGTGAACAGTGTAGGAATTACAACAGTTTGCATATGTGCCTCCCACTTGTTAAGGGACCAAAAGTTATGGGACAGAATAATAATCATAAATCAAACGTTCACTTTTTAATACTTGGTTGCAAATCCTTTGCAGTCAATTACAGCCTGAAGTCTGGAAAGAAAAGACATCACCAGACGCTGGGTTTCATCCCTGGTGATGCTCTTCCAGGCCTCTACTGCAACTGTCTTCAGTTCCTGCTTGTTCTTGGGGGGGCATTTTCCCTTCAGTTTTGTCTTCAGCAAGTGAAATGCATGCTCAATCGGATTCAGGTCAGATGATTGACTTGGCCATTGCATAACATTCCACTTCTTTCCCTTAAAAAAACTCTTTGGTTGCTTTTGCAGTATGCTTTGGGTCATTGTCCATCTGCACTGTGAAGCGGCGTCCAATGAGTTCTGAAGCATTTGGCTGAATATGAGCAGATAATATTGCCCGAAACACTTCAGAATTCATCCTGCTGCTTTTGTCAGCAGTCACATCATCAATAAATACAAGAGAACCAGTTCCATTGGCAGCCATACATGCCCACGCCATGACACTACCACCACCATGCTTCACTGATGAGGTGGTGTCAGGAATGGACTGGCCAGCAATGGTGGGACTCACCTGCCTTTTGATCTGCAGTACCAGGGCTGGCCAGCGGGTGCTCCCAGCAATCAGAGACTCAACCTTTCAGCCAGCTAACACCTGGAACTGATGATACTGGTGTATTTAAGGGATGGCCAGACTTGCAGACTCTGCCTTGGTGTTGTGTTTGTCCTGGGCCCTGTATCTGTCCTGCATCCTGTTTCTGTTCCTTTGCTACCTGTTCTGATCCCTGGCTTGTGACCCTGACCATCCCTCTGCCTGACCCTCTGTACTACGCTGCTTGCTACCTGTTCTGATCCCTGGCTTGTGACCCTGACCATCCCTCTGCCTGACCCTCTGTACTACGCTGCTTGCTACCTGCTGAACCTGGCCTGTGACCCCGACCATTCTCCGCTTGCTCCCCCTGTACCTACCTGCCCAATTGATATTGACTCGGCCTGCCTGACGACGCTTGCTTGTATGTACTGTTATCTGTGGGTGGTTGGTTGGGTTTGTTTGCACTGTATTATGTTTAGTATTGCACTGCGTTTATGTTTGTATTGTTAGTGTTAATAAATTACATTGTTAATCACATATCTGAAGTCTGCGTTTCCCTGCTTCAGTCACACACCTCTGGTCATACCTGGGAGCCCTGACATTACACCAAGGCCAATCCTGACCAGAAGTGGCTGCACAGGGAAGCCATCTTGGCTTGTTGATGGGAAGGATGGATCTGGATGAGGTTGCGTATTTATATCTGCTAGTGTTTTTGATGACAGGGAGTATGCTTATCAAACTCTGAAGGAGTATACCCGGGATGAACTGCTAGAATGTATACGGCTCGCTCATGTTCTAGTAGATCAGGGCACAGAGTTCTCTGAGGTGCAGCCTTTGATTGAGGTTTGTGCAGAGTTGGTTTCATCTGGTGCCCCCGAATGCAGGGATGAATTTTTGCCACCATTTAGTGCAGACCAGGTAGAGTCCCTGGTGTGGTTATTAGAGGATGATGTGGGTTACTTTCTGGAGCGTTATTCCACATGTTCACCACAGACACTAAGAGATTGTATAAACGCAGTGCAGTCATTGACCAGACAGGCTTTGTGTAAGCTCAGCTTTGTTCAACCCATACTGCAGACATGGACAGACTTGTTGCACCCAGCCTCAGTCAGCTTACAAAAACCCAGTCCTGCTTCTAACTCTACTCCTGTATTCCCACCAGCTCCTCCAGTTACAGCCCAGTATACTTGGCTATCTACCGCATGTCAGTACCCTGTTCCCACTCGCTGCACCTATCCTGCCTTTAACCCTGTAAAAAAGCCCTCTGTAGCAACTGCTCCCTCTCCTGTTCCATCCTCCAGTTCTTCTCTGTCTCCAGCTGCTCCATTCGTTTGCAGACCTGCGTTTACTTGCAGTGCTCCAGTAGTTAAAACCAGAAAAAAAGCGCGAAAATTCTTTCCAACCAATACCATCCTGCCAGTATCCAAACCGGTGAGCCTGCCTTCCGTGGTTCAGCCTGAAGCCTCTACCTCTACTCAGCCTGAAGCCTCTACCTGAGCCTGAAGCCTCCTGTACGCAGCCTGATGCCTCTCTTCAGCCTGATGCCTGGTACCAGCCTGATGCCTCTCTTCAGCCTGATGCCTGTATGCAGCCTGATGCCTCTACTCGGCCCTGATGCCTCTACTCGGCCCTGATGCCTCTACTCGAAGCCTGAAGCCTCTACTCGGCCTGAAGCCTCTACTCGGCCTGAAGCCTCTACTCGGCCTGATGCCTCTACTCGGCCTGAAGCCTCTACTCGAAGCCTACTCGGCCTGAAGCCTACTACTACTCGGCCTGATGCCTCTACTCGGCCTGAAGCCTCTACTCGGCCTGAAGCCTCTACTCAGCCGGACGCCGGCATTCAGCCTGATGCCTCTACCCAGCATGATGAACTGATCCAGCCTGACGATCCTATTAGGCCAGTTGACTCGATGCCCGCTGTTGATCCCAGAGATGATCCGGTACCTGATTCGGTGCCCACTGTCGTGCCAATTGACTCAGAGCCCGCTGTCGTACCTGGTGACTCGGTGCCCACTGCCTTGCCAGATGACGCGGTGCCCGCTGGCGAGCCAAATGACCTGATGCCTGGTGACCCAGTGCTCGCTGTCATACCTGGTGACCCGATGCCCGCTGTCGAGCCAGACGATCCAATGCCTGGTGACCCGGTGCCCACTGCCTTGCCAGATGACGCGGTGCCCGCTGGCAAGCCAAATGACCTGATGCCTGGTGACCCCAGTGCCCGCTGTCATACCTGGTGACCCGATGCCTGCTGTCGAGCCAGACAATCCGGTACCTGATGACCCGGGGCCCACTGTCGTGCCTGTTGACTCGGAGCCCACTGCCTTGCCAGATGACGCGGTGCCCGCTGTCGAGCCAAATGACCTGATGCCTGGTGACCCGATGCCCGCTGTCCAGCCAGACGATTCAATGTCTGCCCCAGTGCCCGCGGTCATGCCAGTTGACTCGGAACCCACTGCCTTGCCAGATGACGCGTTGCTCGCTGTCAAGCCAAATGACTTGATGCCTGGTGACCCGATGCCCGCTGTCCAGTCAGACGATCCAATGTCTGACCCAGTGCCCGCGGTCATACCAGTTGACTCGGAGCCCACTGCCTTGCCAGATGACGCGGCGCCCCGCCGCTCCGCCTGAGGGCCCGAGACCTGTCGCTCCACCTGGGGGTCCGGCGCCCGCCGCTCCGCCTGAGGGCCCGAGACCTGTCGCTCCGCCTGGGGGCCCGAGACCTGTCGCTCCACCTGGGGGTCCGGCGCCCGCCGCCGCTCCGCCTGAGGGCCCGAGACCTGTCGCTTCACCCGGGGGTCCGGCGCCCGCCGCTCCGCCTGAGGGCCCGAGACCTGTAGTTCCGCCTGGGGGTCCGGTGCCCGCCGCTCCGCCTGGGGGCCCGATGCCTGTCGCCCCGCCTGGGGGGCCCGATGCCTGTCGCCCCGCCTGGGGGCCCGATGCCTGTCGCCCCCCCCTGGGGGCCCGATGCCTGTCGCTCCACCTGGGGGTCCGGCGCCCGCCGCTCCGCCTGAGGGCACGAGACCTGTCGCTCCACCCGGGGGTCCGGCGCCCGCCGCTCTGCCTGAGGGCCCGAGGCCTGTAGTTCCGCCTGGGGGTCCGGCGCCCGCCGCCCCGCCTGGGGGCACGATGCCTGTCGCCCCGCCTGGGGGCCCGATGCCTGTCGCCCCGCCTGGGGGCCCGAGGCCTGTCGCTCCATCTGGGGATCCGGCGCCCACCGCCGCTCCGCCTGAGGGCCCGAGACCTGTAGTTCCGCCTGGGGGCCCGATGCCTGTCGCCCCGCCCGGGGGCCCGAGGCCTGTCGCCCCCGCCCGGGGGCCCGGTGCGGTGCCTGACGCCCCGCCCGGGGGCCCGGTGCCTGCCGCCCCGCCCGGGGGCCCGGTGCCTGACGCTCCGCCCGGTGGCCCGCTGCCTGCCGCTTCGCCTGGTAGCCCGATGTGCCTCTGCCCGGGGTCCTGCCCGATGTGCCTCTGCCCGGAGTCCTGCCCGATGTGCCTCTGCCCGGAGTCCTGCCCGATGTGCCTCTGCCCGGAGTCCAGCCCGATGTGCCTCTGCCCGCCCGATGTGCCTCTGCCCGGAGTCCAGCCCGATGTGCCTCTGCCCGGAGTCCAGCCCGATGTGCCTCTGCCCGGAGTCCAGCCCGATGTGCCTCTGCCCGGAGTCCAGCCCGATGTGCCTCTGCCGGGAGTCCAGCCCGATGTGCCTCTGCCCGGAGTGTGCCTCTGCCCGGAGTCCCAGCCCGATGTGCCTCTGCCCGGTGTACCGCTGCCCGGAGTCCCGCCCGGTGTGCCAGTCTTGATATCCCGCCAGTTACCAGACCCGGGCGGTGGAACATTTTTCCCAGCTAGGACTGTTTGGAGCGTCCTGAGGCCGCTCCTTGAGGGGGGGGTACTGTCAGGAATGGACTGGCCAGCAATGGGGGGACTCACCTGCCTTTTGATCTGCAGTACCAGGGCTGGCCAGCGGGTGCTCCCAGCAATCAGAGACTCAACCTTTCAGCCAGCTAACACCTGGAACTGATGATACTGGTGTATTTAAGGGATGGCCAGACTTGCAGACTCTGCCTTGGTGTTGTGTTTGTCCTGGGCCCTGTATCTGTCCTGCATCCTGTTTCTGTTCCTTTGCTACCTGTTCTGATCCCTGGCTTGTGACCCTGACCATCCCTCTGCCTGACCCTCTGTACTACGCTGCTTGCTACCTGTTCTGATCCCTGGCTTGTGACCCTGACCATCCCTCTGCCTGACCCTCTGTACTACGCTGCTTGCTACCTGCTGGATGGCACAGAATGGCCTGTGACCCCGACCATTCTCCGCTTGCTCCCCCTGTACCTACCTGCCCAATTGATATTGACTCGGCCTGCCTGACGACGCTTGCTTGTATGTACTGTTATCTGTGGGTGGTTGGTTGGGTTTGTTTGCACTGTATTATGTTTAGTATTGCACTGCGTTTATGTTTGTATTGTTAGTGTTAATAAATTACATTGTTAATCACATATCTGAAGTCTGCGTTTCCCTGCTTCAGTCACACACCTCTGGTCATACCTGGGAGCCCTGACAGGTGGTATGCTTAGGATCATGAGCAGTTCCTTTCCTTCTCCATACTCTTCTCTTCCCATCACTCTGGTACAAGTTGATCTTGGTCTCATCTGTCCATAGGATGTTGTTCCAGAACTGTGAAGGCTTTTTTAGATGTCGTTTGGCAAACTCTAATCTGGCCTTCCTGTTTTTGAGGCTCACCAATGGTTTACATCTTGTGGTGAACCCTCTGTATTCACTCTGGTGAAGTCTTCTCTTGATTGCTGACTTTGACACAAATACACCTACCTCCTGGAGAGTGTTCTTGATCTGGCCAACTGTTGTGAAGGGTGTTTTCTTCTCCAGGGAAAGAATTCTTCGGTCATCCACCACAGTTGTTTTCCGTGGTCTTCCAGGTCTTTTGGTGTTGCTGAGCTCACCGGTGCGTTCCTTCATTTTAAGAATGTTCCAAACAGTTGTTTTGGCCACGCCTAATGTTTTTGCTATCTCTCTGATGGGTTTGTTTTGTTTTTTCAGCCTAATGATGGCTTGCTTCACTGATAGTGACAGCTCTTTCGATCTCATCTTGAGAGTTGACGGCAACAGATTCCAAATGCAAATAGCACACTTGAAATGAACTCTGGACCTTTTATCTTCTCATTGTCATTGGGATAATGAGGGAATAACACACACCTGGCCATGGAACAGCTGAGAAGCCAATTGTCCCATTACTTTTGGTCCCTTAACAAGTGGGAGGCACATATGCAAACTGTTGTAATTCCTACACCATTCACCTGATTTGGATGTAAATACCCTCAAATTAAAGCTGACAGTCTGCAGTTAAAGCACATCTTGTTCATTTCATTTCAAATCCATTGTGGTGGTGTATAGAGCCAAAAATGTTAGAATTGTGTCGATGTCCCAATATTTATGGACCTGACTGTATATATATATATATATATATATATATATATATATTTGCCTGTGTCCAAATATATATGGACCAAACTGTAGCAGCATACATTTTGGCTTAAATTTATATTGAAATGTAACTGTATTAGATATGTTTTATAACAGAAAGTAGAAAATATATTTTTTTTCAAAATTTTGTCTTCTTTCATTTATATAGTTATAAAAACCCAGTGGTGATCAAATAACACCAAAATAAATTGCATACAGTGTTGCATGATCACGCAATTGCCAGTTAAAGTAGCGCAGTGCTGAATAGAAAAAAAATGGGGGGGTAAAACCTTCCGGAGCTTAAGTGGTTAGTGACATTGGCTGCATGTTTGGAGTCATTGTTCTGCTGCAGAATAAATTTGAGGCCAATAAAACGCCTCTGTATTTCTCAGAGTTGAGGACACATTGATCCTAACCAAATCTTCAACTTGGCTTGTAGAAATGCAGCCCCAAAGTTGCAAGAAACCTCCACCACACAGATAAACATAGGAACTGGGATGCAGATTAAAAACATTTTCAGTAAGTACAGAAAATACCTGTTGGTCTTGCCAGACATGCAGGGTCTTTTCTTTACTTCCCAAGAGCTGAATAGACAGCACACACATCCTATCTGTCTTTTAATTTTTACAAGTTTCATCAATTCACTACAGTATATAATGAAGATGATCAAAGGCAGATATGTTTGAAGTCAAGCCTGTGTGACAATTTACTTCCATGTAGATACAGTAGAGGAGTGAGTGTAGCCACCCAGGGACAGCAAGTATGGTATTCACCGAAATATCAAGTGAAATTAAAGGAAAAAATCCCTGAAAAACATAAAACCATATCTAAGGCCCTGTTCACAAACTGCATAGTGGGAACGTGGGTTTCCACTCCTCATTCTAAAGCGCTATTCACACACGTTTGCACATACAGCAGCCTAGTTACAATTCAGATTGTATTTGTGGTGCCATTCATCTGTCAAGCGGGCTGCTGTAATTTGGAATCACGGGCAGAAAATCGCTGATTCCGGCTGCGGTTCCTAATCGCCCAAGTGTGCGCGGGGCCTCAGGACTAGCACAGCCTTTTTCAACTGGAGTGCAAAGGCTCCCTGGGGTGCTGTCTGGGTTCTTCAGGGATGCTGTGACAAAATGCCTTAAAAGTGACAACAAGCCAGTGGTGGATCAAGCCTACCTTTTTTGTTACACAAAGCTGTGCGGGCCAGTCATCGGCATTCTAACAACTGATTACATCGGTTGAACAGAAGCACATCAGGTGCCTGCATGCCATCCTTGTTTGCCCCTCTAGGTCAGCACTGGGGCACTGTTAGCTGCACAAGGGAAAGAAGCTGAGATAGAGAAAAACTGGAATATGTGTTGGTATTTGCGTTAAGGTATATTTGTATTATAATCCTGTGTAATAATTATAAAATACAAATCTCTTATGCTGGGTGACCTATGTGTGTTAATGCTGCTTTTTTCTAAAAGCTAAAAGGTAAGGTTTTTTTTACATTTTAAAATGGACTGCCTAATTTCGAAGGGTGCCTGAACTGAAAAAAAGTTGAGAAACACTGGGCTAGACATATTACATTTTTGTTCTTGAGTTTAGATATTCTTTAACAAGCATTTTACTGATCTCACATATATCATAGTGCTGTACAGAGAACACCAATCCATTTACATCAGTCTCTGCACCCAAGGAGCTTACACTCTAATGTTTCAACCGCACTTACATACTATTATTATTATATATTTTTAAAAAGTTCATATTCTGTAGCGCTGAATACCATGCCAGTCACATCCGTCTTTGCACCAGAGGAGCTAATGTCTAATGTCCCCTCCACAGTCACAACTATTATTTTTTTTTATATACAGTTGTGTTCAAAATAATAGCAGTGTGTTGAAAAAAGTGAATAAAGCTCAAAATCCTTCTAATAGCTTTTTTTTCCATACACACAAAAGCATTGGGAACACTACACATTCTATTCCAAATCAAAACGTGAAGAAAAATATATCAAATTTTTTTAGAGGAAAAAAAAGTTTGAAGAAAAGTGAATATTAGTGTTTGTATTCTTCTTTACAAACTCAAACATTCACTATATAAACTGAAAAATGTTTGAAGATTTTGCTTTCCTTTGAATCACTTAATTAATATTTAGTTGTATAAGCACTGTTTCTGAGAACTGCTGTACATCCGTGTTGCATGGAGTCAACCAACTTCTGGCACCTGTGAACAGGTATTCCAGCCCAGGATGATTGGACTACATTCCACAGTTCTTCTCTATTTCTTGGTTTTGCCTCAGAATTTTTTGATGTCACCCCACAAGTTTTCTATTGGATTAAGATCCAATAGCTTGGCTTCACATAGGCGGCTTCTAATTGTAACAGTACTCACAGGTAACTTTAGACCTTCTTTGATCTTCCTGGAGCTGATTGTTGGCTGAGTCCTTGCCATTTTGGCTATTCTTCTATCCATTCGAATGGTAGTTTTTCGCTTTCTTCCACGACTTTCAGGTTTTGGTTGCCATTTTAAAGCATTTGCGATCATTTTAGCTGAGCAGCCTATCATTTTCTGCACTTCTTTATATGTTTTCCCCTCTCCAATCAACTTTTTAATCAAGGTACGCTGTTCTTCTGAACAATGTCTGGAACAACCC